CTAGCTTTTGTGTCTCTTCTTTGAGCTCATTAATCATTCTTACTATTATTTTTTGGAATTCAGTATTTGATAATTCTTCCTCTATACAGTTGTTTAAATCCTTAGTGGTGGAGTTGGCTTTTGAGGGAAAGCAGTTGTCTTGCTGTTTTGTTTTGCATTGAGATTTGTACATCTGGAGTTGTTTTTGGTTCAGGGTTTCAATCCTTGCCCCTGTGGTTGGGGTTTTGAGCTTTTGCTCCTGGGGTTCCAGCAGTTTTCCTCAGAGAGGGCATGCTGGAAACCTTACACTGCACACTGGGACAAAGTTCTTTTTGTGGTGCAGATTACTGCTTTCCTTCCCTCAGTGAGGGAGCTGGAGTTCCCAATCTTTGAAGGGGAGTGGGGAGTCTCCCACAGGTGGGCATGGTGGGGAGTGCTAGGCCTCTGTGTACCTTGGGGAGGCATGCCTCCTTGTGCCCACAGAGTGGCAGATTACTGCTCAGTGGAGGAGCTGGAGTTCCTACTCTTTAATGAGGGTTTGGGGGCTCTTCTGCAGGTGGGTGTGATGGGGAGCATTGGGCTTCTGTGCACTGTGGTAGACCTCCTGGCACCAGCAGAGTAGCAAAGTATGGTGCCAGGGGTTCGCTTGTACATGTAGCAGCAGATTCCATACACTGAGTAGCAAGCTGATAGTGACCATGAGCAGCAAAGCCAGTGGGCTTTTGCCTTCAGGTGCCTGCAGAACAGTGGAAGCCCTGGGGCCTGCTTGTACTGGGTTGTGGGCTTCCAGGAGGCAAGTAGACCAGCTGCTGTAGGCACAAAGGAACAAAGCCTATGGGTTTGTACATTCTGGCCCCTGCAGAGCAGCAGTGGCCATGGGGTCTGCTTGTGCAGGGGCATGGATTTCCCTGGTGTTTCAGGGTGTGGGGTGGCAGGTTGTGAAGCAGGCAGATCATGGAGCTCTGAGTCTCTTTGTGTATCGGGAAGTGGGACTTATAGTGGAGCTAGGAGAATTGTAACCACGTGGAGCCTTCTGGGGCAAGGGATTGGGAGTGCTGACCTGTGAGCCATTTTTCCTTGTAGTTGGTTGCTTCTCAATTTGTGGATTCAAAGAGCTTTGCTTTTCACTTGTTATGGGACCTCATGTATGTTCTTTGGGGTCCCCAGTTTCTTCCTTCTTTTGGATAGTTACTTGCTGCCAGGGTTTAGGGATGTCAACAATCTGTCATCTTGCCCCATCTCTCTCAGGTTGGATCTTTAATTTAGAAATATTTAATTTGGGCTAAATACACATTACAAAAGGTACCATCTTAAATATCTTTAAGTGTTTAATTCAGTAGTGTTAAATTCATCCACATTGTGTTCACCTAATATCTAGAACTCTTCATCCTGCATTAAACACTCTCTTCCTCCTCTTTACCCAGCCACTGAAAACCACCATTCTGTTTTCTATCTCTATGAGTCCAGCTCCTCTAGGTACCTCATATAAGTGGAATCATTGTCTTTTTGTAATTGGCTTATTTCACTTAACAAATTGTCCTCAATATCAGCATGTTGAGTAATATTCCATTTATGTATTTATCTAATTTTGTGTATCCATTCATGCATCAGGTTGCTCTCACCTTTTGGCTTTTAATAAATAAGGCTGCCATGAACGTGGGTGTGAAAATATCTCTTCAAGATGTACTTTTCAATTTTTTTTAGGTATGTTCCTAGAGGTGGAATTGCTAGATGATATGGTAATTCTATTTTCAGTTTTTTAGGACCTTCATACTATTTTCCATGGTGGCTGTACCATTTTCCGTTCCCATCAACAGTATGCATTGGTACCAATTTCCCACATACCACCCTTTTGATAGTAGCCATCCTTATAGGTATGAGGTGATGCATTATGCGGTTTACTTCTACATATCCTTAATGATTACTGATGTTGAACATCTTTTCATGTGCTTATTGGCCATTTTTCTTTTTGAAGAAATGTCTGTTCATGTCCTTTGTCCGTTTTTTTTAATGGGGTAGTTTTGCTGCTTTTGTTGGGGTTCTTTTATATATTCTGGATGTTAATCTCTTATCAGATCTATAATTTGCAAATGTTTTCTTCCATCCTATGGGTTGCTTTTTTCACTCTATTGTACAGAAGTTTTAAATGTTGGTATAATCCAATTTATCTTTTGTTGTCTGTGTAATACCAAGAAATTATTGCCAAATCTAATGTTGTCAAACTTATTAAAAATGTTTTCATCTAAGAGCTTTATAGTTTTATTTTTTATGTTTAGATCTTTAATCCATTTTAAGATAATTTTTATTTATGGTACAAGGTAAAGATCCAGTTTCAGCCATTGCACGTGATTACAGTTTTACCAAGCCACAGATTGACGAGACCTTAGTTCTTAAATGCCATTATTCTCTACCTGGCCAACAGAAAGAAAAACAGTGAAAAAGCAGCAGGAAAATTGTTGGGAAAAGTTGAACATCATTTTATGCATTGATTATCACAATTTGAGAAAGGGGACCATGGAAACTTGAAAGTAGATGTCAGGATTTGACATTGCATACACACAATAGGCTGGCACCATTGTCGATTGTTCAAAAGTGGAAATTAAAATGAGTTTCACAGAGTTTTGCAAGAATAATCATGATTTTTAGGTATCCCACATTCCAATCAATTTGTCTCCTAAATTTAAATTCCTAGTGAGGCAAAGGAAATTGTTGTGGTCTATCTAGTAATTGTAAATGACAGCATAAATGACTCTAATGTAAGACATTTACTCAGTGAGTTCACTGAGTTCCATGCTAAGAAAGAAAAAGTCCCATGCTCCTTTGAAAAACCAGTATTTTTCTTTGGCCTTGGCTACTAGGAAATTGAGTGCTAAATTCCATGCTTGGTTTTATATCCTTTCATTCCTTGATTCTTAACCTTCTGCTCTTTTGTTTTTTTCTTTTCTGTGGGGTGGTACTGGGGTTTGAACTCAGGGCCTCACACTTGCTAGGTAGGCATTCTACCACTTGAACCACTCCACCAGTTCCTACTCTTTGATTTTGATATTCTTTATAAATCAACATTACTGAGGCATAATTTATATAGAGTGAAATATAAAATGTACCCATTTCAAGCTTTGACAAATGCTACACTTATGTAACCACCACTTCAATCAAGATTGTAGAACATTTTTATCACGCTGGGACATTGTCTCTTGCCTCTTTGTAATCTCTCTCTATCTCTCTCTGTCATATTCTCTCTTCACCCCGCCCCCCACTTGTCATTAAATAGTTCCATTGATTCTGTACCTTTTCACGTTAGCCACCAACAAATACTTTTAGAAGTAGGTGAAATATGCATTAAAGTAAACCCTTAAATAGACTTTTCTAAGTTCTCTTCCTATGATGTGCCATTTAGTTTCTTTCTTTTTTTTTCCTCTAATATCCAAAACACAGCATTCAACTGCTTAGTACTTAAGTCTTACTAATAGTTAATACTGGTGAACTGTTATTTTTGAAATATTGCCAGATATCCTTGGAAAGTGTTCCTTCAACCCACCCCACTTTGAATTAAATATCAAACTCAAAGGATGTTTTTTAGGCCAAACAAATTTGTTCCTGTACAGGTTTGTCTATAAGTGGTCAGCATCTTTGCCAGGAAAAAAAATAAGTAACAAGCACGAATTGCTTTGTTGTAGCACATTTGAAAGCCGTGGCCCTGCTTTCTAGTAATTCAGCAACTCAGGGCCTCTGAAAATCTGCAGCTGCCTTTTGAAATGTTAGAGCTGTGATCTGTGCATAGATATAATAACAGTGCCACGAAATGACAACAAGTAGTTTAACCAACTGGATTGTATATGGGAACAGCTTTTGGGCTCTAGGTAGTTGTATGAGGTAACTGAAGAGACAGGAATTGTAACCAAGTTACGCACAAGGAATTCTAGAATATGACTCATGTCAGACAACATCAGCATGAGTTGTGGATGGTTTATCCTTCCTCCCCCGGATAATAAAGAAACAGTCAAAGGTAATGTAAAGTTTTAACCCCGCTTTCACTTGCCAAATAAAAGGAATTATTGTTGTTTTCATTATCGTTGCCATTCTGGAATTATCATGATATAATGAATTGAACTCTAAATGAAGATGTAAACTGAAGTATGTCATATAATCTTCAAATATTATACTTTAATGTTTCTTCATGATGTAATAAAGCTGTGTTTAGAAGGAAATTAACAATAACTTAACAAAAAGGGTATTACAGTATTAGCCATTTGACATTTTCTTGGAATTGTTTTCTACATGAATGGCATAAAAAGCAAAGTCAATGAACCAAGTATGTTTACAAAGCAAAGAGTCCTCATGCAAAGCTTGTTTGATGTTCTATGCAATATTTCAGCAGTGATATTGTATAGTATTATTATGGCTGTGTCAGTGATGTATCCTAACATGCTTGGTATTTCCATGCATTGATCTAGGTATGAGGGTCAACACAATGTTCATTTGTTTTGTTTTAAAATATTTTTACTGGCTTAAGTTACTACATATAAGTTAGTTATTATTTTAAACTCATTAGATAAGAAAAGTGTGTACCATAACCACATGTATTTATATTACTTATGTCTAGGAAGAACTCAGCTATAAATCAAGATCATGTGGTTTCTTCCTTGGTGACTATAAATTGTTCTTTCAGGTGGTCCCAGTTTGCCTCAATTGGAGGTAGAGGTGGAGAACAGGTTATGATGTGAGACATTCCACTGAATTTGAATTTGTTCTATTGAATTTGAATTTTCATTTTCTTTAAAAGAAAGACAGTATTTTCATAGTCTGCCACAGAGGGAAAAACTTTAAAAAAATGTTTGGCTCTTTTTCTGAATATAATTAAATTTCCATTATCCTTTTCCTTGCCATAAGTTTAATGATTTATATTTACTAGTTGAGATATTATCAGTTCCCCAGATTTGCTCCCACTTAATGAAAGAAGCAAAGTCTAATATAAGACTTACTGACTAAATTTTTCCTCCTCTTTTTAAACCTTGTTTTAGGACGCAGCCCAAAACTATGTTTGCCCAAGTTGAATCTGATGATGAGGAAGCAAAGAATGAACCGGAATGGAAAAAACGTAAAATTTGAAAAATCTCATTTGTGAGCTGTTTGCATGAGGTGGGAGGGAAGCAGTGTTTTGTTTTGGTTTTGCCTATGAAATAAAAAAATACATTTTTGTGAACAGATTTTGTCCTTTCCATTATTGAACTATTAAAAAAGTCGCTATTTTTGATGATGATTGTGCTTACATTTTCTTACCTACAACTATAAACTGTGTTGCAAGTAAACAAGGAACAGATTCGTAGCCTATTCCCAAGTACTTTAGGTATTTGGAGACTTTATTCAACAATTACCAATCTTGTACAGATTCTCGTAATCTTAGGAGGAAAAATGTATATTGAGATGTACATCTGTCTTGAGCAATTCTAGGAACACAACAGAAATAGAGATCAAAAAGTTTAATATTTCTGTATAATGTCACAACAGTTGTTTACATGACTGTAAATAATTAGACTGATTTCAAGCCAAAAGCATTGCCATACTAGGAAAGACAAACATGTATCTGATTATGCTTCAACAGCAGCCTGCAGCGGTTAGGAGTTAGGAGAGAATGCTTTGAAGTCAGACCACTGTGGGTTCCAGTCCTGGCTCTGCACCTGCTATCTGGGTCACCTTGGAAGAGTTATTAAAATTCTCTCTTCTACCTCATGAAAGTATACCTACCTTGCAAGATTGTCAGAGGATTAAGTGAAATACACCTTGTAGAGCACTTAGTACAATACCTGGCATGCAATAAATATACAGCAAATACTTGCTACTTTAAAATAAGGACAATTTGCCTTATTTTTATCAATATCCAACTAGAACAGTATAGAAATGCTTTGTAAATTTAAGGGATGTATAAAAAGAAGACACTAAAAATCACCTTAAAAGATCTTTATGTGACTAGAAAACTAAAACAAAAAGTTGGCAGCTTCTCCAAAGTAAAAATGAATCAATAGAATAAAATTGTGTGCACTGATTTCACCATTGACATGGGATCATTTTTACATGTTAATTAGTTCCCAGTAGACAACTCAGGTTTTCAGTACTAGCCTTTTGTCCTCCTGTTCTCATTTGTTCTAGTGAATTAAATAATTATAAAATTGAATGATGATCTAAAAGGTGTGTCAGAAAACCCCTGGTTCTCTGTTTCAATTCCCTCTTGCCGACCTCACCTCTATCAAAGCTTTTTTTTGCTAACAGTTTGAATTAACTGACTTAATTCTCACAAAAGCTTCATGAATAGGTAAAATTGCTAAGCACATTTCACAGGTGTGGCCAAAAAAAATAAAAAGATTCTCAAGATGTCAAACAGTCGGTCTAAGGTCACAACCACAGAAGGCTGTGTAAAGACACCCAAGAATTCTTAAACATCAGTAATTAACAAACTGCCCCAAATTTCCTATTCCTATTGAAATGCAGTTCATCCAAAATCAATTACATATGAATATTTTGTTCCAACTGCTTAGGTTTTATAAATTTATTGCTTCAAGGATAAAATTTACTGAAAGCCTCTCACATTTCCCCCGTCTTAACATAAACTTGCACCATATGGAAGATTTCGTCTTGGACAGCCAAAAGTTGCAGTGGAGGGCTGATGGGATGGGGGTGGGGGATAAAAACTTAATCATAGTGGTCTTGGCAGAATTTCCTATGATGTAAGTGCAGAGAAAGGCAAATTTAGCATGAAGATGATTTTCTCACTGTTACCACAACGTACGTGGGCCTTTTCATGTCTGGGGTGATCTGTCTCACTCTAAGAGGATTATTTTTCCCACAGAAGATTGGCAAAATATACGTAAGGATTTCAATTTTGAATTGGTGAGGGAGAACCCTAGAAACGGGATTGGACAAATAGCAGGTGTTCATTTGGCCTTTAGTTCTATCACTAGGACATCACTAGATGTCCAACATCACTGTCTGCCCCCATACAACCTGTGTCCCTTACCTTGGTCAACTACATTTCTAGTTGCTCAAAGAAGGAATCTGGAAGTCATCCTGATTCCTCCATTGGGCCCCACTCTTACTCTATTATTTGCCAATTCTTCTCCATGTTCTTTGAATCTCTTATATTTGCCCTTCTTCTTCCTACCTACATTACTAGAATTGAACCCTCTTTTAGCCTTATTGGAATCACCCAGGACCCTCCCCTCCAACTAATCTTACCTGCTTTTCATTTGGTCCTTATCTAATCCATCTTTCATGGTACCATCTACATTAGCTTTCAGAAATCAAACTCTGTCATTTCATTCCTTTGTCTACAGACTTCCAGGGGGTCTATGTCAGTAGTTCTAGTTCATTTTATGTGGCATTTAAGGACATCCAGGATTCAGCCTCTCCCTATCTTGCTTTAACTTCTGCTGATTTACCACATGCTTCTGAGGTTCAGCCACATTTTACCCAGAAGGTGTCCTGTTTTTTTGGCACCCAAATGTCTTTGCATATGTGTCCTTTTCCCCCACCACGTGTCTACCTGGAAAATTCCTATTTGTTTTTGGAGATGGGAATCAATTTCACTTTCCTGAGCAACCTTCCATGATCCATACAGACAAACAGTCTGTGCTACCTTCTCTGCTGTCATGATTGCTTACCATCTCTCCACTGTAGTCTCCTTTTATGTTCCATCGTGAGTGTATACATGTGCATAGTTTGGGCCTGGGGTGTATTTTTGTGTCTGTTTGTCCCACTGGGATATAGATTATGACAACTAAAGAGCATAGGTTTCAGTCAGTAAATTTGTTTAATGAATGGAACGGGTAATGTTCTATTCCCATTTATCTTCCTAGACTCTAGCCCTGGGAAAGTAGTCCAAAAGATGCTCGTTAAATTTTTGCGGGAAAGGATGAGGAAGAGATGGGAAGAGAATGAAGTCTGACAAGTGCTTCTGCTTCACAGAGGGAAAAGAAGGTTTAGTGCCTAAAGATGGTCTAGATCCAGGTATTTTTTTTTTAACCACTTCTCTGTTGGGATCCATTCACAGGTAATTATTGTGATGACTCAAAGAAAAAGCAGGATTGCCTGTGCATGTTCTGACATGGCATAAGCCATAGCCACTGTGACATCCTCAGGCACTGTCCTTCTGTCCTATTGGACTTCATACTGTGCAGGGTATGGGACCCTGAGTAACCAAATATGTGAGATATTGCTAACTAAATTAAACTAAACTAAACTGCACTAAGACCTCTGACACACTGGTCCCATTCAATGTTAGACAGTCAATTATATCGCTTTGTAGTCAGACCTTAATAATTATTCTCTGGAAGATTTTTAGCCTTCTGTCCTCTTAAAAGAGTTCAGCTTCATGATCACATGAAGGAAGCATAGAGGACTGAACACTTCTATATGTGATCTAAGAACAAATATAAATTTAAGAAAAGCTTTCAAGGATCAGATGACTATCTCAGGTAACTATAAGCCCTTCACCATTTAATAGCCAATGAGTAAGGTGGGGTAGAAAAAAGTGAGGGTAACCAGGTGCTTTCTGACAGGTGTACAGACAATCTAGTTCAGTATCTCTGTAGAGGTGTTATACCTCATTCACTGGTCTTGTGTGTGAGGAGGGTGACCCAGTATGAATTTGAGTTAAGTAGTGAGATTACTTGACTTTTCTTGATGGACTGGAAGTAAGAGGACAGATTTTATTCTGGGACAACTGCCATGAACAACTTGGGTTGGCCCAGAGATTATGGCTAAAGAAAATAATTGTAATATTCTCTCCTTCCATTCTTTTGAGGCACCAGACCTGTTATCTTCTTTCCTATATCCTCTTCAGTCAACTTACCTGTCAGTGGGTTTGTACTTGATCTTATCTCCCCATAAGGACCCAGATCCAGCATTGTGCCTTCCTAATCCAAAGTGTCCGTGGGTTTGTGAGCCTATGAGTTAATCTTTGTCACAGCCAGTTTTATTCTGAGATGTCTATGACTGAATAAGCAATGGTGGTTCTGCTGTTTATAATTCACTTTGAAGCATGGGTAGCTGACAACAACTGGATTCTCTCCTCATATCTGCCTGACAGAGCTGTCATGACCAGATGTCTGGTGCCAGTCCTCAGATCTCAGAAGTTCTTCAACCATGGGAAAGGATAAACATATGATGGAATTATATTTATTACATTAATCAAAGTTTCTTAAGTGATATGGCTGATATCTTAGAATCAGCATGAAATATAAAGTCAGAAGTTTGAATTTGTGTTCTTTCTTTGCTATGTAATTTTGTAAGTTTAGAGTCACATGAACTATAAAACTCAGTTTCTTCTGTGAAATGGAGGCAATATTAGCACCTAGCCAACATCCAGAGGGTTTATGGAGAGAATGAGCAGGGGCGGGGGGAGGGGAAGGAGAGAGGGAGAGGGAAAGAGAGGGTCGCATAACTCTGGGATCTGTCATGCTTTATATTAGCATTTCATATATATGTAAAATGCTAATATAGTTGTTGCCTCTTGTGGCTTTTTATTACCATTATCTTGGTGAATGTATATGAAGACAAGCCCTCGTCTGTATCAGCCCCGTAATCATGGTAGCTGAGAGGATGCTCTACTAACAGGAAGAATTTGATTCTCTGTATTTGAGAGGTTGCCATCCAATGTGGAATTTACCCAGGATTTGGCTAAGTCTTCAGTGGGGCTCTGGTCTAGTTTATTCTGCTTCTCATGAGCCAACTGGGACCTTGAACCTACTGCTGTTGGCCTCACTGTTGGCTTGTCCAACTCAATGACCCTCATGGTGCTGGCTGTAACAGCATCTGAAACCTATCCAAATTTAGAATAATGGGAAAGTTGTCTTCTGTATTTCTCATAGGCTATTTTGATACTGCCTTTTACTTTTTTGCCCTTGTTTTCCCCCAGTATTAAAAAGCATTGTGTTCATTTCATGGGGATCTGTATGGTCTTTCTCTTTGACTCCACTGCCTCTTGTTTATCAAAAATAGCAAGTCAACCATGACAAATGGCCAGCAGCAATTTTGCCTCCAAAGTACAAATGCTTTTTTCTTCCATCAGTCTTGTTGGAAAACTGCTTTTCATTTGAGGGAAAAATCTTGTTATTCAGAGTAATGTAGTATAGGGAAAGCTTTGGAAGCAGGAGACCTGGGTTCAAATCCCAGATTTGTCAAGTTACATAATCTCTTTAGAGTCTCAGA